ATTGTACAGTGACATTAAGTGCCGTAATATGCACCTCTGCCTACCCCTTCGAGGATAAAAGGCGTGATGTTATGTTACACTAATAGTATGTCAGAACTAGGAATCGAACCCGTGTTGCCATCATCGACTACTTTTTACGAAAAACATTGTTTTTTTTGTAATTTACTTATATTCATACATGTAACTTATTTGGCGTTGCGAGTGTATATGGGCGGCACCGATTGCTTACCATCAGCAGCTGTAGCCAAATGCCACTTAGCGCTTATCTACATGTAGAATACAAAACCAAATTATATGGAATTGACGTAAATCTTGACACTTGTCAATGTCATCCCCATACATTTAGTTTTCTACTCTCTCTGTAGACAAGCGCTAAAGTGGCGTTTGGCTAAAGGCCACGGTAATCCGTCTGCTCGTTTCATGAAAAATGTCTAAAGTTTTACCTGTACTACAAAATTGGCCAGTTTCGGCCTAGTTGCCAAATAATTCAGGACATAATTCCTGATGTCTAAACGCTGCTGCGTTGAGAGGCTCGCTGTCGACCTGGAAACATGCATAGCCACGTTTTTATAATAACTATCGTGAGACATACTAAATCAACTATAAATCGCGGGTTACTCACGTGAATATACTGAGAAAAGCTCTACTATAGTCAGAATTTTAATTAGATTCCAGATTTGACAATAGCTACTGTCATTTTGTGAAATAATGATACCACATATAATAGTGTAGTGATGAACACAAAAATCGACAAACAATCAGTGTGTGTGTTTTATAATAAATGTTACAGAAAGTGACAGGATAGCGATAGCGATGACGACGAAAATTTATAAAATAACTTATTACCATAATACATCTATCTGTTTTATTTGTCATGTTCCTTCATGATTACATTTTTTATTTATTTCACACACAATTATAAAAGAAAAGTCTCAGATCGTTAATTAATCGTCAAAACTAAATTATCGGTTCAGAAATATTTAATTTCCTGATATACTTAGTTTACAAGAGTAAAATTATAAACAAGAAGAATCGATCCAGTAATATTGCATTTCCATATCGAATAATTTCGCAACGTCACTATTTAGTACTTGTCATAACGTTGCAACCCTGAAATTGTCAAATCTGGAATCGAATTAAAATTCTGAGTATAGTTTCTGTTTCGCTTTTAGTAGTAGTTTCGCTGCTCATGAGGAAGAACCCCTCTGTGGTTCGAAACTAGTAGAGCTTTTCTCAGTACATTCACGTGAGTAACCCGCGATTCTTAGTTAATACAACACCACGATTTAATATCCTATTTATTGTTATTTTAGGCGAATAAACAATACAATTTAAAAAAGGTGACCAACCCAGTGGTTGCGAAACTCTCATTGGTATTTGCCGTTGGTAGGTTTCGAACTAGCACCCTCGTGCATAAGAAGCGGGCGTCTAAACCTCCAGCAGCTGTAGCCAAATGCCACTTAGCGCTTGTCTACATGTAGAATAGAAACCCAAATTATATGGAATTGACGTAAATTTTGACACTTGTCAGTGTCATCCCCATACATTTTGATTTCTACTCTCTCTGTAGACAAGCGCTAAGGTGGCGTTTGGCTAAAGGCTCTGATCACCACAACATCTTTTCATACGAAGAATAAATAAAAGAAAAAAAAGTGGGTGTTACATTGTACATGTGGCATTAAGTGTCGTAATCTGCACTTCTACTTACCCCTTCTAGAGTAAAAGGCGTGATGTTATGTTATGTCATTTCTTTTTTTTTCTATATTTACCTGCTGATCAGCTTAGCCAGCGTCGTGGCAGCCAACAGTTGTGAATAGCTCGAGTCTGCCCGCTCCAATAGCGCCTGGCATTTGCTCAGTGTGTCTGGTGACTCCTAGAAACAAAAAAAAAAAAACAAAATATTAAATGGGCCTTATAGGACTTTTTTATTTTTTATGTTAAGGACCGGAAAACGAGCAGACGGATCACCTGATGGTAAGTAATTAGCGCTGCCTATAGAGAAAACCGTAACCTAGAAGCGATATAAGTGCGTTTGAGGATTGGGAATTTGGGCCTGTGGTAACCTTACGCCGTGGTGCCACTTTGGTCGATCCAACCCTTTTTTTTATTATTTATTTTTTGTTCTTATTGTTTTTTAACCTATCGCGCGCCTCTCGTACACACACGGGTAAATATTGTAATAGAAAAGCTAATTACCTATTCTGTTCAATCAAGTAAAGAACGGTTTGCAAACTTGAAAATATACGTCACAGAAAAGATTTCCATCCAATCGGTGCGCGTTTCTCGTACACCCGTGTGTACAATTGCCCGATGGGCACTCAACTCTCTCGTACACCCGTGTGTACAAGAAACACGCTAGAGGTTAATTTGTTTTTTATCTAAATATTTATGACTGTGTGTTTGATGTATCATGCCCAATGGCAAAAATAAATGATTTATTTTTTTTCTTTGGTTACTTTCTCCCACATTAATATCATTATTATTGAAATTATTGAATTACTAGTAGTAAAATACCGTATTCCCCTAAATTTTCGGGTGTCCATTTACAAAATAAGATGAGATGCCATGATTAATCATTAAAATAAAAAAATTACATAAAGTTTTCTTACCTGAAACCCAACGACTGCCTTCTCTGCTTGCTCCCTTACGAGCGGGTCCTGGGACTCGTAAAGCTGTTTGCATAGCAGCTCTATTTGTATCACCTCCTGTAGACAAACAAACATTCATTCGATTAATAAATATAAAACATAACTGTTACTGAATAACTGACTGACTGACAGACAACGCACTACCGAAACTGCTACACCTTTTTTTTTTTTGACGGGGGAAAATCATCCAATGACTTCTCCCGCCCGGGTGAGGCGGGAGGGAGTGTCAGACTCTTACTGACTAATAACCACCCCGTTCCTACTCCTGCACTTCGAGCCGGAGCCCCGGCAACCCGTTAAGTCTTCCGCGGCTCCGTATCGGCATCAGCCCTGTTAGGCCCCATCTGTGAAACTACTACACCTAGGAAGCTGAATTTAGTAGTTTCCAGGGTTTCAAAATTAAAAGTCTAATTAGTCCGGTTAGATAATGAAAAAAATATTAGACACGTATTTTTTCATTTTCTCGTATTATGTGGCATTACTTAGATAAAATGGCGGTAAGTTTAGGAGTGGGAGGTCGTTACGTCATAACGTGTCACAAAATGTGGCACGCTGTGACGTCACACGATATTTCAAATTAGGATTTAGGAGAGAAAGTATTTAATTTTGAAAAGAAAAAATACGTGTCTAAAGTTTTAATTCAATGGACATTAAAATAAGATTTAGTAAACTACCCTATTTTAAAAGAAGCTTCAAAGAGCCATTGGACCACGACGGATAAGGCCCAGTAGGGCTGATGCCCGATGCAGAGCCGCGGAGAACGTAACAGATTACCGGGGCTCCGAGTCCAAGTGCAGGAGTAGGAACAGGATTGTTAACCGACTTCTTTTAGTAACATTCTCAATCAGTATGTAGATACATATAAAATAAAAAAATACATAATATAACATAACATCACGCCTTTTATCCCCGAAGGGGTAGGCAGAGGTGCACATTACGGAACTTAATGCCACTGTACAATG